GGACCCCAAAATAAGGTATCCTAATTTTCGGAAAGTCCCATACGGTCCCTGCTTAAACCCTGGCCTCGAAAGCCTGGAGGCCGGCTCGCAGCAGCTGCAAATTCTCGTTGCGCTCCTGGCTTCGGGCTCGAGCCCACGAGGCGCTGCGACGTCTCCAAGACCGGACGGGGAGGCCTTGCGCTGGAAGTGGGACTGCAGCAGCCGGCGACTCCTCTGTGCCTGAGCCTGGACCACAGGAGACTCAGCTCGGCTCTGCTCCACTCGGGTCAAGCAGGCGGACTCGCTAGAATCCTTGTCATCCTAAGGCAAGTTGCCAGGAATCCCGCTGCACGCAGCAAAACTGGCAGCACCTCCATCTGCATCTCTAGCTGGTGCTCCTTCAACACTTCCTGTCGGTCAGATGCTCTCCCAGATGGCCCCTCGTTATTTTAACTATAGTATACTATACCCCAAAGCCCCATTCTAAAGGCCCCAGATGGCCCGCCCCAGGCCTGGATCCTGACACCAGAAGCCCTCCCAGCTCGAGCCTCGAGGAGGTCCCCGAGCGGCCGCCGAACGTTGTCGACGAGCACGCGCTGGAAGGGTTAGGGTTTGGGGTTTCGGGTTTAGGGTTTAGGGTTTAGGGACCAGAAAAAGGGCCCTCCCCCTGCCCCCCCGTACCAAAAGCACAGCTTCCGAAAGCGCCCTCTAAACCCTAAATCCTAAACCTTAAACCTAAACCCAATCGGAAAGAAGGCCCTCCATGGTGCTCCATTCCGAAAAACCGAACCGCCCGAGATCTGCGCGCCTTCCACGGCGACTCGGTCCGGATCTCAGGCGCCAAAAGGACGTAAGTTTTTGGGGGCCTTTCAATAGTTAGAATTAGGGTTCCTTTTAAAGGGATCCTTTAAAGGGATATTATAAGGGTTACTGTAAGGGTTTAGGGTTTAGGGCCTTCATAATGATTATAGAATTAGGGTTCCTTTAAAGGGATCTTCAAAGGGATACTATAAGGGTCACTATAAGGGATCTATAATAGTGTAAGGGCCTTCATAATTAGAATTAGGGTTTTGGGGTTCCTTTTAAAAGGTTCCTTCAAAAGGTTCCTAAAAGGGTTCTATAAGAGTGGGTTTAGGGTTTTGGGACCTTCAGTCATTTGAATTAGGGTTCCTTACAACAGGGATCCTTAAAGGGATGTATTATAAGGGTTACTATAAGGGTTCTATAATAATGTAGGGGCCTTCATAAGTAGAATGTAAGGGCTACTATAAGTGTTTAGGCTTTAGGGGCCTTCATAATTAGAATTCGGGTGGCTTTAAAGGGATCCTTAAAGGGTTCTATAGTAGGGGCTTTTTTAATAGTTAGAATAGGGCCTTGGAGTATAGTGTACGATAATCATAATAAGGAACCCTCAAAATAGTTTATACTCTAGTTAGAATAAGTAACCCCCCAAAATAGTATAGGTAATTGTGAAGGCCCCTATATTCGCGACGCAGACTTAGTTTCGCCGAGGGGTCGAGGCCCTCCCTTGCTTGGGTCGGCGCGCGATGCACTCGTCGACCAGCCAGGAACCCTCATCATTTTGGGTTTAGGGTTTAGGGCTCGTCAGCACCAAGCTCAGGCACAAAGCTCAGCTGTGCTCGGTCTCTGGCAGATGCCGGAAGTCTCCATGCTGACGGAACTGGCTAAATGGGGATACTCCTGGCAGGAAACAGATGGCACATCACAACTCTTAAGAAACTCGGGGCTTTGCCCTTCCTGGAGAAACTCGGTCATGATGTGGTCGAGGTCCTGCTCCCTCTGATCCCTTGCAGGCTGGAAGCGGCTCAAGGTTTAGGAAAGTTTAGGTCTCTGCTTGGAGCTTGCAGTCACAAGTTCCAGTCTGTGTTTCCTTACGCCCAAGGGCAGAAAGACGACTGCACCTTGTTCATCCTGTTCCTCCACGACTTGCACCTTACGACAGTGCCGTCAAGAACCCTGCCTTCGAATCTCCGTCCGTGTCAGTGACGATGTGCCGGAGAAAAGCGAAGTCACCTCGGCTCGAGGAAGCGTGGCACCCATCGGAGGGTGCGCGGAACATGGGTAGTTCTCTAAATTAGGGTCCCGCTTTAAGTCCCCAATATAGTACGGC